GATCTCAAGACCTTTAATTTTAGTGGTGGAAGACATCAAGGAGATTTATAGAACTCAAGTTATGGTCCTTGCAAGTTACAGGTCATCTGAGGTATCTGAAATTTTGTCTGTGAAAGTGACTTGACTTCCAAGCTAGTTTTACCCCTCAAGGAGATTTCAAATGAATTTCTGGTCAACATAGGAATTGTTCCTCATTGTCTTAGCTTTCTAGAATGGTATAGTATGCCTTCATATGATGTGTGGAACTCAACTTATGGTCTTGGCAAGCAAAGGGTATTTTGGTCATTTGTGAATTACAGGTCATTTTAACCTATGTCCAAAACTCATACAAGGAGGCCTCAAATGGAAACACTTACAACATCAAACTTGCTCCAAATGACATTTTGAGTCTAGAAAGAAGGTCACAAATTGTTGGAAAAGCTCATAACATGAAGTTGCATGATTGGTCAAATTTGAACTAAAATGGCTTATAACTTAAATAAAGTCAAAGTGAAAAATGGTTTGAGAGATTTATAAGTCCAAATGGAGACTTCCAATATATGATTTTGGGTCCAAAAGACATTTCAAAGACAATGGTTCAAGCACTTTTTTGAGTTTAGAAGGAAAAAGAAAAGTTATTTATGGTTACTTGCATTTGAAGAAACATAACCAAAATGGATTCAATTTGGAATGCAAGAGAAGTTGCAAGATGGTTCTAGAAGATTCATTTGAGCACTATATATTCATGAAATCAGAATTGAGCAAGGGTTGAATCCTCATTTGTGCAAAAATCTCACAAATTCTCTCTATTCATTCTCATTGCAATTTCATCCAAATTTCTCAAAATCTTCATCAATCATCACCAATGTTGATTCCACCATATTCAATCATCATCATGGACTAAAGATCAACAAAGATCTGATTGAAATTGATCCATTTTCGAGCACCATAATCATCAATATCCAAATTGCAATTTCAAGTGGATAGCAAGATCCAAGGCAAGAATCATCAAGGTTTTGCAAACAGAATCAAGCACTGAGTTAGTTGATCAAGATCCAAGCATTAGAAGCCTCAGATCCACGAGTTCAACATCCATTTCCAAGCTTTCGCACCAGGTTCAATTTCTCTCCCATAGCTTGATATAGATAGATTTACATGGTTTTATTAGTTTAGATGTGATCTAGGTTGTTAGTAGAACGATTAGGATGAGTTTGGTGCTGTTTAGTGATAATTGTTAGCAGGTGCTCAAAACTGTTAGGATTTAGAACTCATAGCATAGTACATTATAATGTTAGTTTGATAGATCAGAATAATCACCATTAGGCATAGAGTAGATTAGTACAGGTTTGAGTGAGAATCTTGATGATGCATACCAGAGTATTTTCATGGAGTCAAGACTTGTCTCGATCGGTTTGAATGATTCATTGGGATTTAGAATGAACTGTGATCATAGTCTTGTAGAGGAAGAAAATTGGAGCGTTTTTCATGTTTGGATCATGATGTTTCGTGCACTATGGAGAGAGAACAGATTGATGGAAGGTTGGTACGTGCATGTGTTTTCATGGCGGAAACCCTAAGTTCTCATGAGCCAAGGTAGAAGATGCAATCAGGATCGTCCATTGCTTGTTGGACCGTGGACCAAAGAGCCCATCGTGTGGCTCTCGTTCAATTCTGAGTTTTGGAGGGAGTTGAGAGAGGTGCCCTAAACGCACCGTTTCATTTAATGAAACGGGCGGGCCTAGGTGTTTTAGTGATATCCCCACCCCCCAGTACTGAGCCCAATTCAATCTGAACGTGAATCCATTTCTATTCTCACCCCCTGCTTCCTCTTACTTTTTTTTATTAATTCTGACTTGTTCTGGGCTTAATACAAACTCGCTACGTGCACCCCCACTGCCTGGCCCATCCAAGAATACAACTGAGCGTGTCTGCTATTAGTACCCCCCCCTCTCATTTTAATTGATTTAGTTTTTTAATTCACTTTAATTTTTACCAACTTTAAAAAACCATATAAAATAGGAAATTAACTCTTTTTTAGTGGTTGTTTTTTCTATATTTTCTTGGTTCTGTCTAGAAAATTATGAAAAAATAAAAATTGCATTTTATTTTTATTTGATATTTTTCCTATATTTTCTAAATAAATGACATTTTAAATAGTTTCATTTCATGCATGATTTTGTTAATTTTTGTTCTATTAGATGCTTTAATATTTTTTGTTCATTCTTTTTAGGTTGCTTAGATGAGATATTGAACTTGTAGAAACAATTTAGTTCCCATTTTTAGAAAATTAAATTTAGGTGCTTAGTGTAGGTTTGAACAACATGAACAAATTAGGGTTTTTTAGGTGATGACTTAGGAGATTTGATTCTTTTCCCTTAGGACTTAGGGTTTGACTAGTTTAGTTATGGGACTATAGGGGCTATGGGTAGTTATTAGATCCCTTAGAAAAGTCAGGATTCCCCTACTGCTATTAATACTCTGTGTATGTCTGATTGTCTGGTGTGGTGTGCCCTCTGGGGGATTATTGCTTGTTTGCTTGGGTATTGGGATTGTCTGGGAACTTGGGAGAGCTGAAGACTTGAGGAGATGAAGACCATTGGAGAGCCAGAGATTGAAGATCAACTGCCAGAGTTGGAAAGGAGGTTCTTGCTAGCAGCTGCTAAGGAGACTAGGGTTTAGGAGCTAGGCAGAGCTCTAGATTAGAAAGCTTGTTTCTCAAACATGGAATGCCTTGTCTGCATCCATCCTTTCTCTATGATTCAAAGTCTCTTTCAAATATCCACCTCCTTCCTTTGGAAGGATCAGTGAATATATTTGAAAGATAGAACTTTTAAGAGGAAACTTTCTGTTTAATGTTAACAGTTGATGAACCACCATTGGTAGGTAATTAACTGTCTAACATTCATTCACTTCCCTCTTGTGACTAATCCCTCATCCTGGAGGTTTGAGCTTGAAGAAAAGCCATTGCAGATAGAAGACTGATGATCAAAGCCCTTGCCTGAAGGCCATGAAGATGGAGATTGATGCTTGTTGAAGCCTGTAGCTGATTGGAGATTACTTGAAGCTAGATGTTGATTCAGAGCTGCTGATGCTGTTTCTTTTGCTGTTGTATTTCATTGCTGATGTATTGTTTGGATTTCCTGGGTTGTATTGTTTGCTGGTTACCCTGTTGGGTTGAAAGTGAAGTCTGTTCACTTTTGCCTATTGTTTTCTAGGTTCGAGGTTGAGTGGGACTCCCTTGCCTCGCTTGTACTGTTGCATCCATGCATTTTACTGTTTTACTGTATATATATGATATTGTTTCTGTTTCTGCCTATCCCGTAGGATCTCTGTTTCTCTCTGTGCAAGAGAGGAGCATGATAGACACTAGGTCTTAACCCATGCATGATAACATTAGGTTAGTTTGTTTCCCTTCGCAACCATAGGTTAGAGTTCTGTCTCTTCTCTCTCAAAACAAACAGAAAAACACATAAAGATTTCAAACACAATAAAAGACACTTCTTCCGTAAAAGAATGTGAACTCATCAAAACGTCATTTTTGTCCGCTTGGACCGCTAATCAGAAAACCTTTTTTCAGAAGGAATAAAAACAATTAAGACAGACCTGTGTCGTACGTGGCCCGAACTACGTTTGCTCTGATCTTCCATGCTGTGTGGAAGTACGTAGGCATAGGATGCGATATCCTAGCGAGCAACCGTCCCCTCCTTTCCCGTAGGTAGGCGAACTACGTTGACTCTGATTTCTCGTTCCAAGCGGGAATACGTAGGCATAAAGTGCGATACTTTGCCGAGTCATTTTTATTTTCATTTTATTTTCTTTTTAACCCTTGACCTATAGTTTAGATAGAATAACAATCCATACCCGAAAACAAGCGTGGATCCCGTCGAGTACGACGGACGTGAGGGGTGCTAATACCTTCCCCTTGCGTAACCGACTCCCGAATCCAGGTTTTGGTTGCGATGACCATACCTTTCCCGTCTTTGCGAGGTTTACTCTGAGCGTTTCCTTTCCCTCCCGTGGGATAAATAACGCACGGTGGCGACTCTTCTGTTCAGCCGGCGCCGATTTTCGCAGTAGCGACACTATAACCTTATAAAAAAGATGAAAACAATTGATTAAAAATATAAAAGGTAGTAAAAGAGGTTGTCAAGGTCTATAACCTTATAGAAAAGATAAAAGCAATTGATTAAAAGTGGGTGTACGACCATTTGAAATTAATCCACATGATGTGGAGTGTCATAGAGAGGATGTATTGTTGATGTAGAGAGGATGTATTGTTGATGAAGGAGTGTTGAAGTGTAGAATGTCATAGAGAGGATGTATTGTTGATGAAGGAGTGTTGAAGTGTAGAATGATGAAAGACTTGGATGTTGCCCTAAGATGGAAATATGTATTTGGTTGTTTTGTTATTATGAAATTTGTTTGGAGGATGACGAGTATCTTAACCATAAACTAAATACAATCTACAATCTAATACTCAAACCACAAACTAAATACAATCTACAATCTAATACTCAAAAATATACTCAAACCACAAACTAAATACAATCTACAATCTAATACTCAAAAATTGGGCGTCGAACCACAAGTCAATTAGGGCCAACAATCCAAGTGCACAAGTACATATGGAGAATGTGTGGAGATGAATGAAAAATAAAGTGCACAAGTACATATGGAGAATGTGTGGAGATGAATGAAAAATAAGGTGCACAAGTACGCCAACAATCCAAGTACTTGAAAAATGTGTGGAGATGAATGAAAATAAGGTGCACAAGTACATGATTGTGATGCCTAAGCGATCCGGTGGAGAATTCTAAAATTAAACTAGAAAATTGTTTAAAAAAAATCCAATTTCAAAACTAACAAGAAATCTACATTTCTGACAAAAGATAATGCAGTACATTGTACACACATATACAACATGCAACCAAAACACTAAACACCTAAATCCACACTACACTCACATCATAACATCACTTAACTAATTATACATAACCATTATTTTTCTAAAGACTTAAACATCATGCAGATCCATAAGAGGTATAGTTGTTGACAGCTTTAATCCCTTCAGCAATAGCATGTTTCCCAAGCTCACCAGGCAAAACAAGCTTAACCGCTCCTTGAATCTCCCTTGATGACAATGTCATGTTTCCTGTATAATCCTTCAACTTACTAGCCTCACATGCTACTCTCTCAAACATATCATTCATAAAATTGTTCAAAATCACCATGGATTTTGATGAAATTCCCATTTCAGGATGCACTTGTTTTAACACCTTGTACACATACCTTTGGTACCCTTCCACACTCTTCTTCCTTTTCTTCTTTCCATTGTTATTGCTCATTTTTTGTGTCTTGTTCTTCTTCACCTCCTCTTTGATGAGGTTAATGTTTCTGTTTTGTTCTTTTTGCTGGTCGCTGTTTTTGTTTTCGGTTGTGGTTGTTGTTGTGCTAGAAGTTGAATCGTCTCCTTTTGTTTCATGAGCTTCATGAGCTTCATGAACGGGAATGACTCTTATAACTTGCTCTTTCTCTTCGTCTTCTGTTTGAATATCTTTGTTTCTACGTGTTAGTCTTTTGGTGCTGCTGATAACTGAAACTTGAACACTTTCTTCTACGACTTTCTTTGTGGATTTAACCACCATTTTTTTCTTAGCACTCTTTCGAGCCATTCTTTAACGGACCAACCAACCTTTCACTGTCTCTTTGAATGTTTTGTTTGTTAACAATGGTAGAAATGGAGGTGTTTTTATAATAATCAGCATAGTCAGGTGGGAAAGTTTTAACAGGTTCTAATGGTTGACGTGTGGAGGATTAGGTGTCAAATGTGTATTAAACTTGTAGCTACGTGGGGGTTAAAAGTGAATGGTAAGTTTTGTAATGTGCCCTTGTGTCACATTATCTGTTAAATTGTTTTATCTATCTATACATTAATACCAGTGTTGTATATTTAAGCATTCATTTTAATGAATTTAATTATTTTGACTAATATTAATTCCAATAATTTCGTTTCTATTTTGTTGAAGTCATCATGAAATGCAAGAGGTTATGTTTTTTAGGCATCACATGCAAGAGGTTGTTTATAGTTAACATGTTCTATTTTTCTTAAAAGATAAATTATTAGTAGTAGTTGTGCTGAGAGGATGAATTTATGGTCAATTGTAGTAGTTCAAAATTCTTAATAGAGTGGGGAGGAGATTGACCTACAAAAATAACATTCAAATGTTTAAATTAGTAAAAGAGGGAGAAAATGAGATATAGATGAAAAATAATTTGAATATCTTTGCAATGACGCATTTTTCTCTTTTAAATAAAGAGAATAGTTGATAACTGCATGCATGTGGAACGATGTGGGACGTGACTAATTGTTAAATTGGTTTGAGGAGATTAGCATGACATCCACATGAAGGGTGTTCTACGATGGAGAAAAGTGGGAGTACATACTCCTTGTATGGTAACTTTTTGCCTTAGAGCTGGACCTCTGCCTTCCAGGCCAAGCGACCGATCTATAACAATTTCTCCTAAGCCTTTGTCTCTGCTATGCAGAACGAGGGTTCGTGATATGTATTATTGTTCGACCACGATATTCATGGTCGTGGAAATCCCTGATGGGTGTTGCTAGTATTGGGAATGGGCACACTGAATGCCTATCTTGGAAGTTGCAACGTGGCATTGGGAGTGATTGACACACCTTTACTTGCTAGCTAACAATAAAATTTCTAGGGTGTTTGAGTAATTCCAAACCTTTTTTGAGAATATCTCAATTGTAGGTAGTGCGTAGTGGATCGTACGGTCCTAGGTTACTGAATAGAGTATAAAAGATTTTTGAAGCATTCTCTTAACTTTTTTGTAGTAAGCTTTATGCGAAGAGTGTGTTTTATTTCCTCTTCTGCTCTTTCTTTGAAGTGTTTGTTTAGTGTTAAATAAAACTAACAATTTCACTTTTCGTTGCCTATTTGCATGCTGCATTGATCCTTTCTTCTGAGCTCAAAGTCCAAATATTTCTTTTCTTTCTAGTGATAATGTTAGTTTGCTCAAAGAAAGCTAGTAAGGATATTTTAAGCGATAATTGGATCCCAACTTACTAGGGACTATTACTGTCTTTGTTCACAGAAGTGTATTTGGTCAAGCTTTAATAAATATAGGATCCACAATTAATTGAGGGTGTTTCCCCCAAGTGAAAATAAGAGAATCTAAAGCTAATATGATAGATGTGTTATCCCTTTCCAGGAATGCTTGTTCTCCATCATAAGGTATTATCTCCCTTTCAACGAATTCGAAGTCAGCATACTGAACCATTTGTTGATAGTCCCTTCACAATTGCATCTCGTGAATTGGAAATTCATCAAAGTCTTTTTACACTGGTGCGAGAGTATAAAAGAGGTATGCCGATAGTGATGCTATTTTTTTCTCTCCATATTTTTAAGATTCAAAACAACCTTAACTATATCATCGGTTCTGGTATGTTCTTCTTGAGGCAACCCATACGATATTTCAAAGCTTATTCTAAAAGCATGATAGATTTCGATGATCATTTTTTCTTGGTTGTTCCTTTGACAGAGGTAGCGCATGCAAAGATCTTCCGCTTGGAATTTGGTCCTCCCCTGCTTGTTCGAATATCTTTCATAAGTATTAGTCTCAAAGCCACTACGTGATGGGGGATGGTTTGTATACTTACAAGGAAATTTTTTGATCATGCGTCTACCATTGTGTTAAAAGAAATTGTTGTTAGTGAAGGTGCAACTATATTTCCTTATAGAAAAGAGCCCTCAACGGGCTACAACTAAAACATTGTAGGGGCCACGGGTTGGGATGTTAATCCCATCAAATCGCACTAGTGACATTGGATAAATATATCCAACAAGGTTAACATCCACTCTAATAGTGGAAGAGATCTAGGCGGAAATATCTCTTCATAAACGACCCTGACTTAGAATTGTATATGGGCGGGCATCTACCTTGGTGGGTTAAAATCCAATGTTGCTAGCTCTTCTGGGCCCGAGGATGGGTAGAAAGTTCAAATCTTTGGTCTTTGATGAAGAATATTTTATTTATTGGGTCTTCCTCAAGAAGATTGGTAAAAGGAATTGGCAGAGTTGTATCGACTATTTGGGTGTTCAGAGGTGATGGTTGTGGAGAAGTTATCTTGCCTAACCGCCTTTGACGAGAGAGGGAGAGGATCAAGGAACAGATCTAAGATCTTATATTTTAACAGGATCAGTATTTTGAAGAAGTTTGAGGTGCTTCCAACAAGTTCCTCGCCATAGAGGCCGTTCTGGAATCTTTCAAGTATCCTGGTACTCTTGTAGAAAAGGTACAACGACCTGGTTGAGAGGTTGCCAAGAAGAATATGGTTTTTGCCTTTGTTTTGACATCTTCTTCCAAGGCCGAACAAGGATTTTGATTTTAAAAAAAGGATTTAAGAATTTGAGAAATCTCTAGAAGAGTTCTGGGAAAGTCAAAAGAAGGTCGAGGATGGTCTTCGTGCGATGCGCCAAGAAAACCTCGATCTTTCAAAAGAGATAGCTAAGTCGTTACAAGAGGGTTTCTTTATCGACGAGAGTGCTTTTGAGAGATATTTGAAATCAAGTGGAGTATTTTTATCTCGACGTTCGTGTCTCTCAAGATCTATTTTGTGCCAATTAATCCATTAAGGACATAAAAGTGGTCTCTTTGACGGACAAGCTTTTTTCTATTTTTTTAAGGCATGCTCGTACCTAACACTTTTTCATCTTTGAAGTTTTTGTCATACAATATATGTATACACTTCAGTTCCTTCATTTGTTCATATTTTACTTGATTTTTGGTGTTATATCTGGACCCAGTTCTAAGACTCAGCTTTTCCTCTAAGTTTTGCTCAATGTTTATTGAACATCTCTGAAGAGTGTGTCTGATCAAGGGTCGGTACCTGTTCCCATACCCCTGGTAAGAATCTGGATCGAGGTCGACTCGTTGGCAAACCTATGACGACCTATAGAGTGGCTAGCTACCAAGAGGGTGTCGGAAAGTTATTTTCCTCTATTAGGTTTGCTTTCTTTGTGTGTGTATGTGCATTAGCATCGTGGGGGTTTTGATTGCTTTAGTCGTACACCAATGGCATTTTCAACAACACCTCTGAGTTTTTGTGATGGAGCTTTGCTCTCTTTGTGTGTTTTTACATAAAGGAAAAATTAATTTTAACATAACCAAGTGGCATAGCTGCTTCTTGTTGCCTAGGGAGTTCGTGAGAGCCACTACCGTCTTTTTCGGATCAACCACTTATGTTTGTCCATCTAAGGAGACTTTCTCTATGATTTGTGCAAGGCCTCAAGTGCGCGGAAATGCGAAGTAGTAAAATAAGATCGAACCCACCAGGAGATGTGTATGTGTATCGAATTTTTTCATAATAGTGTTTAGCTAAAGTGATCACAATGTTGATTGGTTTAGTTTAAATCGAAAGAAAAATAATTGATAATACAAATAAGGCACGGGGTTGTGATAATCTATCAAATCTTACCGAACTTATTATCTGAATTCGAACATGAGAATATCTAAGTAATTTATGTAAAAATAGATAAATGTGTGACACCCACTTTCGTGGCATGCACATCTAGACGTGTCTCTGGCATGACTAAGTGGCTTTCTCAATCAAGAGTGAGTCACCTTGTCATGAAGGTACCTCGCTACTCTATTGTCTAGCAGTTTGCGATCCAATATCAACTCATATCCTTTCGGACTATGATCGTATTTGGGTTGCCTTTGCTTTTGCAACTGACATAACTATCTTTAAGAACTCAGATTCTAAAATAAAGTACATATGATTCTCATAATTCATATTCATATAAATAAATTAGGGCTCGTCATGAGATAGGCTATCACAAACCCTTATCCTTATAAGACTACTCGCTCACGGTGAGGTAAACAAGAATCAAGTAAATAAGAGATATAAAAGCAAGTAGATAAAGTAAATCAATATAAATAACCTGAATTGAAGAAAGCTCAATTAAATAAAATAAAAACAGAGAATTATAACAATGTTGCAGAGGAATGCAAATGAGAGCAAAGAACTAAAGCTGGAAATTACAAAGTGCGTAGTAGTAACAAGTGATGGAACTCTCAAGCTAATAAGAACTATTTATACTAAAAATAGCCATTAATCACCCATAAACATCCATAATTTCGTCCTCAATCATTAAAACCCACTATAATCAAGTCTTGAGAGGTTTCAAGTGTCCAAAAGTCACAAAACACCTAAAAATAATTGAATTTGTAATATTTGTTGGGTGCAACATGGGTGTGTCACCTGACCGTGTCATGCAATAAGACCCGAGTCAAAGGACATGACCAACCCATGTTGCTCCTAGTTATTTTGTTTGAGCTCAGTAGCATAGACCAACACAGCCAGCCCATATTAGCCACGAGTATTTTTTTATGGTGAGGGTTCCTTTTTGTGCGATCTTTGGTCGTTTTCATTCCAGTTAGGTCCATTATTCTCTAATTCCCAGAAAACATCAAAAGAACATAAAATCACATAAAATTTAACTAAAATGATGGAAACACACAGGAATGCAGAAAGAAAATAAGCTAGAAATATGGTGCAATAATCACTTATCACTCTACTCGGAGGAGGTTGGATGGCTATGCCTTTCAGTTGCTTGATCAAAGAGGCCAGATTAATTTCCATGGCCTTAGA